ATGCTATACCTATCTTCTGCATCAGAGTAATTTGATCGATATCCCATAACAGTACTTCTACTATCATCTATTACCTTACCATTTTATTACCATTATAAATTAGAAATAAACTCGGAGGAAAATTACAATATTCCTGGAGAATTGACTTATTATCGTAAAATTAATTATACGAAAAAATAATTTTAATAATCTTTTCCACACGATTTCTCGCAGATTTCTAGTTTATTCAAAGATCAAACCTATTTTTTTTTACATATTAAATTGTTCGATATTTTAAAAAATTTTGAAAAATAATAAAAGCTTCAATTGTAAATTTTATGTTGTTAAACTTAAAGAGTTGTTTGTCTCGCGATCAAAGTATTTTTATTATCGAGACTTCCAACCTCTCAACGATTGCACAAGAGTCTATAAGGTCCTGATCTCTCGTTCCCAATAAAGATTGACTTATCGTGAGGTTGTGTCACGACACGCCCAGTCAGTGACCTTGACGAATTTACAGCTTCTGGGTCCAGTTTCTCTCGAACATGTGGTGACTAACGTTTCTGCGTAGCCAACATGCAACAGGGTGACACTTTCCAAACGAAGAATATATATTCACAGCCTTTCGATTATTATTTTTTTTGGCCTAGTTTTTCTCTTTTCTTCTCTTCTTTATTTTCACTTTAATTTGTCTTCCTTCAAGAATAAAATTCCATTCTATATATATATATGTATAAATTATAAATAAATAATAATCATTCTATGTCATTCTATGAAAAGTAACCGATCAACGTTATCAATTTCTATATCTTCTAATTTTTCAAACAATTAACAATTTCCTCGTAACAATAACACTCTTTGTTCCTCTATCCATGAATATTTTTCCACTTATTCATATAGTCAGAACTTGATCTTTTATAATTCAGCCTTGGTCTCGCTAATTATCGAAGAAATAAAAAAAATAATCGAAGCTTACCATTCAATAGATTCACGACCCTGAAAATGAACGATCCTTCGATCGTTAATTAGACGATAAAACTTTATCTCACTTATTTAACGTTATTTAACGTTAAAGAATGTCGTAAAGACTAGATATATTGTACAATTATATAGGGGAAAGAATAGAATAAGATAAAAATTAAAATAACAAATTATATTTTCCTTCGAAATCGAATTTTAAAAAAAGATTGCAAAATTGATAGAATTAAAAGTAAAAAGATATAAAAATAAAAAGAATATATATTGCCGTCGATATATCTACCTTTCATAAGAAACTAAAAAAGAAAAATAGACAATACATATGCAATACACATTCACTTTAGGAAGCAATGAGTTAAGGTAATCAGCTTTCGTGACAAGCTTGCTCGATCGATTTCCTCGTATCGATTCCAAGTTATGCCCAAATGGAAACACGCGCCAAAAGATTTCTCTCTATTTCAAAATTCGATCTGGAACTATCGAAAATTGATTATTTATAAATATTTTTTTCCCTCCCCTCTTTTTTTCTCTTATTTCTAAATAACGAGCCATTTCGCTGTTCTCTCACTTTCTGATAAAAAAAAGTATTTTTTTTTTTTATTCAGATCGCAAGGACAGATAGCTTATTAAAAGATCCGCGTGGTGTACATGCGAAAGATCGTGACACTTTCTCTTGCACGCGATATCTCATTCATCGAAACGCCTCGACGATTGTCGTTTTCTTAATCCAATCGGCCAAGAAGGACACAGATTCTTTTTCTCTGGTAATTCGATTTCGTTTAGAAACGCTTCGTTGCTTGAAATTTTCCATTAGATTCGCGATAAAATCTATACTTGGATACTTGGTTTCAATCCTCTGTTGTTTCCGTTTAATAAAATTAGTGATCGAACGAGGAAAGAGATGACTTTTGAGAGAATTTTTAAGACAAGATTTCCAAAAAAAAATTAATATTTCATTAAACGATATATGGAGACGAAACAATTTATAAATCGTATTTTCTAATTTTTAGCTTTAAAATAATTTCAAACTTGGATCCGTTTCAATTATTTCTCTTATAGAGAACACCTATAATTAAAATAGATTATAACTGAATTATTAAAATAGATTTGGAAACTGAATTATTAAATTTTTCATGTTTCCAACTTAGAAGATGCATCAAAGTTGTATTCAACAGCTATTTAAAAAAGAAAAAAAAAAAAAAATATAGAAGACTCATAAAAATTTATCAAGTTTTTCTGCTTCAGGAAGTTTTCAAATGCAAATATTCAACAATTCTTTATCATCATTAACGCATTCATAAAAAAAAAAACAGAAGATGAAAAAAATAATTAAGAAAAAAATCCTTTGTCCTATTTTCATGTTTCTCAATTCTTTGAATGCTTTTCTCTTCCTGCATCCACCAGCAATTAGGATAATTCCTATCAAAGGAAACATATTTTCCTCTAATCAATTTTTCTCTCTCTCTCAAATTTTTCCAAAAACAGACATTCCTTCCCGTAGGAAGACAAAAATTAATCAATTTGTCCATTAGCCGCGTGCGTGTTAACACGTCGTCAGACAAAGCCTCTCCAAGCCCTGGAACTTAAGTTGGACTAGCGTTGGGCTAGACGAAAGAGCATCGACGTGTTCTGGTGAGCTGGTGCTGGGCGATGGCCAGGTAGAGGGAGGTGCAAAAGGTGAAAAACAGTTTGCCATCAGCATAACCGGTTCCACGTATCCCGAGCCTGCGCGTCTCACTGTTTCTCAGCAGCGGCTGGATGACGACGATTCGGCCGGCAGAGGGGTCTCTTCCCGATCATAATCGGTATCCATCCGCTACCGGTTACGATATCGTTAATGCGCTAGCTTTTACGATACTCGTAGCCATTACTCGTAAAATCGATCGAATCCCAAAGTTTACTTCACTTGAGATATTCGTTGAGATATGGTGGTGAATAGAGATTGAAAAGAAGTTTGAAGGGAAAAAAAAAAGAGAGAAAAAGAAAGGCTCTTGGATAGAATAATAGTAATTTAGATAATTTTTCTTGATCTGAGAGAAATATTGTGTGATATATTATTACGACGAGAAGAGAATTTTCGAAAGATGAAAAAGGAAAAAAGAAATTTCCTTTTGTTCAGGGTATTCTTTAGATTTGTTTTTTAATTGTCGTGTGTGAAATTTTATTGTAGGTTGCTCTTATCCTCCGAGGTTACCGACCTCTGTTTTATAATCTATAGCGGAAACAATTGAGAATGGTTGGTCGAAAGAACTTAAGATGTAAGTTCTTTTGATACAATAGCTGTGGAGAAAAAAGATAAAGTATAGTTTTAGTTGCAGATTCACAGTATATAAGTTGTAGAATATGAAAGAAATTTTTATCAGGATAGGCCAGTTTGAATAGAAACACGTGAAAAGATATATATATCAACCATTGTTAGACTTGATTCTTCAACTAAGAATTTTCCAATATTGTCGATACTATTCAATATTGTGGCTACTGTGATTTCTTTATCTTAACTGCGTTTTATTTGTATTTACAAAGTTGTTGCATGTCGAAGCATGTAATGATATATCGAGATTATAAATTCGGTCATATCATATTATATTTCTTTTATCGATAGAGTATTCTTATTAAAAAGATTTTGATGTACAATTTCTTATCTGTTAATCTTAATAATTTATACATTTGAGTCATGAATGATTGATTATTACTTACTTACTAGGTTTTTACTTCATAATTTATTGAAAAAGAGAGAAGAGGATAATTTAAACAAATATTATGAAGTTTTATGTCTTATTTAATTGTTTTAACTGATTCAAATTATTCCTATATCTATATATAGTATAAACTGTTTCAAATAAAATTTCAATTAATTAATAATAAATTATGTACATAAACAGAAACACAAATATGCATAAGAAAAAGTGAAAAGTACAAACAGTACAAGAATAATAAAAACAAAAATATCCCCCTTTATTTCTTCTTGATTATTCACCTTTTGTCATTCCAATCATACCTCATCGCTTACACCGAGAGTTTATAAATAAAAAAACGAATAAAAGCTAGCACGATTAAATGTGAAAGCTACCGCAACAAGTTCTTGATACCTTGACATGGTCGACTCGTTTCAGATAAGCTTTCCATCAACACGCTTTACTCCCCTTATCCGCAAACCAATTTGTTTTTCGCTTTTTGTATAAAATTATAAAATAATTTAGTTTAAAGACGGAAAACTTATTGCCATTCCATACATGAAAGGCCAAGGATAATAAAAATAAAAACCAGAATCATAATCGAATGGAATTCATATGTTGGAAATATAATCTTGTCGTGACTAATGTATGACCTCTAATTCTTTATGTAGTTCATGGTAATATCGTTTTGGATGAACGATTTCACGTGTAATAAAGCCTAATCTTAGTGATCGTACAGGAAAAGATTTTCCTCGATGAACGAGCAATTATGTTGAAGATTATAGACATCAATGAGATGGGAGCAATAATAAAAGGAACTTTCGTTCGTGTCTTCTTGTTTCTTTCTTGTTTTACGATTTGTCAGAAGGAAGATCGTCGATTACGATCCTCCAGTTTCGCCGGTTGCATCAAACATCGGGAAAATGCTTCCGGTTATTATCGACTTCCTTCCACATGAAAAGATACGATTGCTCGTGAAAGATATTCCAAGAATTATTCCATAATTTTTTAATCTCGATTTTCTTTAAGACTGAACTTCTTTTACATTATAGATTTTCAATTGTACAATTCAAATTTATTAATGATTTAATTTTTTTTTAGTTTAATTTTTTAAGCTTTAATATTGTTTTGAAGCTTATCATCTCATTTGAAATTAATTAATCCCTCAAAGTTATATTTCCCTCACTATTGTATATTTTCTCTTTTGTTTCTTTGTTATTGTACATAATCATATATAATAATCAATTAAAAAGGAATTTAATAATCATTCTAATAAGATACATGATAATTTTACTCAATTTTCATATAATAGTAATATAGAAATAGAAAAATACTTTTTTTTAACAATTATAAATAATTTTGTTTCAGACGCAGCATCGTTGTACATCCGCGTGAGTGGAGTTGGGTCTACAAAAGCAGCGTGTCTCGATCGATACGCAGCTAGTCGATCAGTATGATGTTGCAGAACTGTAGCGGCGGTGGATCCAGATGCGCCAGACGCGCTCTGATATTCGTGTTCGCCTGGGGTCTGGTAATGATCGCAGCTGTACAATTCCGTCACGTGGAGAACAATCTTAGAGAGACACCAACGGCTGAGGATTCCACTAACGAATTGCTGATCGACGACATCTACAGTCGACATGAAACACTGAACAATCATGGATCTTCGAGTCTTGGTCTATCCAGATACTTGTTGCAAAGATCCTCAGCAGACTCCAGTTTCTCGAATTCTGGTGGTTCAAGTCTTCTAACCACTTTGACCACTATATCCAACAATTCGACTAGAAATCCTTTAGATTTAGAGCCACTATTAGACAAAAGACCTGCGAAAACAGAAGAAGAATTAATTCAAGAAATAGAACAGAGATTACCTAGTCTCCCTTTATCTTACTGGAATAAAAATAGCAAATATTCTGGTAATCAGGGCAAGATTAAAGGCAATAATAGTTGTTCCAATTTAAAATATCCCTCCATCTATGATATAGAATTCAATAATGTTTACTGGCAAACAATGAGGACCAGTAATGGTACCTTTCAATTATTTGGTGCTTTTTATGACCATAGAAAATTGTCTAGAATAGGCCCAGCAATTAGAATTGTTGGAATGATTGACAGAATTGAACCTATTGTAAAAACTCACTGTCAATTATGGTATGATGGGGAAAGGGAACCCAAGATTGTTGAAACTTTAGAATACAAATATATTTGGTATCCTAAATGGGGCAACTATAAACAGGGAATTTATCAGCCTTATGTAATTGCCTGCAAAATCCCACAAACTCATTGGTTGAAGGGACCCCCAGCCTCAGTTTCTATGGTAGAAAAACCATGTGAAACTCCCAGCAATAATCTTAGAGTGATATACAATAAGCCTGAATATAAAAAAGATTTTGCTGTTTGTGTAAAAGGACTAGATTTTCTTCATGAAGATCTATCTGTCAGATTGGTTGAATGGATAGAGTTAATTACTCTATTAGGTGCAGACAAAATCTTCTTCTATCAGTTACAGGTTCATCCTAATGTGACAAAAATTCTGGATTATTATCAAAAACTAGGTAAAGTTCATGTTACTCCATTAACTCTTCCTGGTGGACAACCTAATGTGCCTGCCTTCCAACATATGTATCTGACTAAAAAGACCAATCATAAGAGACAGAATGAACTGATTCCTTATAATGATTGTTTATATAAACATATGTATGAATATGAATATATTGCTCTGTTGGATGTGGATGAAGTAATAATGCCAGTGAAAGATGGTACATGGCAGAATTTGATGAAAAGAGTATTGACGAAAGCATTTAAGATTAGAAATGAGACAAGAGCCTCATATAATGTGAGAAACGTATATTTCCTAGATGATTTGCTGCATTCTCATGGATACTTCAAAAATATACCAAAGTAAGTATTAATATAAAGTATTTTCATACTTGGAAAAATATTTATGGTAGAAACATTAAGTAAAAATTAAATTAATGAAAGTTTTTTAAAACAATTGTATTTAGATATTTTTACAATTTCTTCTATTATTAAAAATTTTAGCAAATTTTAAATAATAGAATTGCAATTGAGTGGCTCTCTCTCTCTCTCTCTCTCTCTCTCTCTCTCTCTCTCTATCTCTATCTATCTATCTATCTATCTATCTATCTATCTATCTATCTATCTATCTATCTATCTCTTTCTCTTTCTCTAATAAAATAACAAGTATAAATTGTAATTTAGCAATGCTGTTTGTCAAATGTTGTTTCTAAAATGAAATGAAGTGGAGCGAAACGAAAAGAAATCGTAAACGATCTAATAACACCTCATAAATTTTCTAATAATTAATCTCTAAAATAAAATGATTAATTATTAAAAGATACTGATAATTTGAAATAAGTATTTTATACTGAAATTTAAAAAAGATAGAAGATATGAAAGTTTGAAAATTGACAAAATTCTGTAATAAAAATTTTGTAATATTTAAGAATTTAAATTGATTTATAAATTCAAATTCTTAAAAGTTAAAAAATTTAAAGAACAAAGAATTTAAAAGTGAATCATAATATGATGTTTGGGAATTCAAAAGTTTTAAAATTCAAATATTTCAAAAATTTAAAAATTCCAAAAAAGAATTTCAGAAAAAATATAATTTTAAATTTCTCACTTAAAATTTTCTATATTTTCACAGGTATATGCACATGTTGCAGCATGTTTATCGCTCGAAGAACTTTACCAAACCTAATCAATACATCAAGTGCTTCCACAATCCGGAAAGGGTGGTAACCTTGCATAATCACTTTCCTTTAGCTTGTTTGGGCGCTGGATGCACCAGTTATCCTATAGAGACCGAAGATGCTCAACTTCAGCATTATCGGGCCGATTGCGTGAAATCGTTGAGAAAAACTTGCGTCGAGTATCGAGAAAACAGCGTGTTGGATACTACGATATGGCGATACAGAGACCAATTAATCGAAAGGGTTACCAGGACATTGGAAACTCTTGGTTTTTTTGGACCAAGCTAGCGCAAACAAGATAGAACGAGTCTCTGTGCTATTGACGACGAAGCTTGAAATCGTTTAGAATTATTTCCTTCGTTCGTCTCATTTCCCTTTTCATTGAAGTTTTTCAAGTTTGCTACTTGAATGGTCGTTGGAAAGCGTTTGCTTCGTGGATGAAGAATTTTTATAAAATTGAATATCTTCTTTTTTTTTTTTCTATTATATTTTCTAAAACCAAGGATCTATGCCAAAAATTTATTCTAAAAATAATCTTTCTATAAAAGTATTATATATTTTTTTTTATAATAATGATATTTTGCAATTTCTTAAAAATTATACAACATATATTTTGATTTTACAACTAATGAAGTATAAATGGAGATCCTTGAATGGAAAGCGCGAAGCATTCATTCGTTGACCAACACATTCGAGGACGAAATGGCTGTGTAATCGGATGGAATATACGACAATGATTAGAATAAAGCGTAGAATAAGGATAGCGTTAACGATTTTTCAATTTGTGCCACTAGATGAAGAAACGTATTCGCGAATTGTAAATTGAATGCTGTCTTTGCTCAACGCCCTTCGAGATAATCGCGATATTAATCGATTCTTGAGTTAATTATTTTTTGAATGCATTCGATATATTTCTTATAAGATCGAGTATCATCGAATGTATATAGAAGATACCTGTACTCGAGCAATCGAAACAAATTCGTTTCAAACTAGATTAAAGGCACAAAGTAAAATATTTTATTTTGAGTGATCATGTTCATACAAATAATCTAATTTTATCAAAAAATTAGTATTTGTATTACATTTATCTGTAATGTATTGTATATCATTAAATTATACTATTGACATATTTGAAAATGTTCGAATATTAAATTCGAATATTTTAAATTGAAAAAACATGATCAAAAAGTATGAATATTTTTTATGAAAATTAAATTAAAATTAAAATTATTAAAGCAGCATTTTAGTGTCACAGAAAAATTAATTATTTTTGATTATTGATAATTGTTGATTTTGATTTGAATACTTTTAAATAATCGAAATTTATTTTAAGAAATGAAAATTTTTCAAATATATCAACTGAATTAGCGAATATCTCGAGTGAATCGAAAATATAATAGGAATTTGAAAGTTTGATTTATTTAAAAAATTTAAAAACCGAAAACAAACAATTATTTTAAAAAATTTTTTGTATTATATATCTCGAATTTCAGGAAAAAGAATGATTAAAAAAAATGGAATATAATCAAAAGCGAGATTTAATAATCTGGCTTTTTCTATTTATCACTTTCAATGAAATTCGATAAAAGATAATGAAAAAGTAATTATTTCTATTCTAAACGATTTGTGTGAAGCTTCTTTATGTTTTTAATTGTACCTTAATTTAGCCATTTATCGATTCTGTATCGAATAATTCGAGTATTTTATATCGATTGATCGAATATAAATATACACTCGTAAGAATAGAAATAGGTTAGGAAAAATGTTGTTACATTTTATTCTAAAAGAAAGAAAAAATGATGGATAGAATGATACAGGATATCGTTTCTTGCTATCGATCATATGACAAGAAAATGCATTTATCGATAGGCGTCGACGCTATTTAAACGAGTTGCACAATCGTACGACATTAGTATTAATTAGATTATTATCCTATCTGAAGACTAGGACTTGCAGTATCCGTAGTTCGCGTACGTTTTATCTTTTTCTTTTTTTTCTTTTTCTTTGTTTCCTCGCATTAAACGGAAATTCTCTGTAGAGAGAATCATTGTGATTTTTGTCAAACAATGACGGGAAGAAAGCTAAGTATGGGCATAAATTGGAAATTAAAGTAAAAGTAAATTGAAAAATGATATCGATTGTTAATTCGAAATCATTATTTTGAATTTTTTAATAGTTTTATAGGATTCTTTATATAGGATATTTCAAAATAAGTCTTTTATATTTCTTATTTATTATATTTTTATTACAATTTTTCTAAATAGTCCCTTTATTTTATCATAACAATATTAATTGAAACAAAATTTTTAAGTTTATAAAAAATAGTTTTTTTAATATAATTTTTTAAAAGATAAAATTTTATGAATAAAAAAATAAGAAATAATACTTATTTTGAAATATCTCGTACGCAATATCGAATCGCCTCTAGAAAGCTTCATTTTTGATACGCAACACAAAGCATGGTCTCGAATTCACGATTGATACTGTAATTCGAGTTTATTGTAAGCTAATGATCGTAATTCTTGTTGAATAGCGTTTCTTGCGCGTTTCAATGGGATGTAACGAAAGCCCCTTGTTCCAGGGATATACAAATATACTGGATTGTGAAATAATGTGTCGATTTTAAGTTTAGTCACGTAAAAAGAAGACAACATAAAATAAATTATCTGGTTAAAGGATTTTCAAAAAATTGCGTTTTACCATCTTTATTCTTTGTTGATCGAATGTTATTTGTTTTATGCAATCGGAAAGTGTTGGATGTCAAAAGTAAGAAAAAATTTAAAAATCAATTTAAAAAATTGTTTAAATCATGTTTCATCGAAGATTTTCATGAGTTCCACAAAAGAACAAAATGATATATATCCATGGAACGATCGAATGCTTTCTTCCCTTGTGTGTTTGCTTTGTAACTTGAAACAGGCTATATAGATTCATTTTCTCTTCTTTTTATATGGTGAACCTCGATCGCTTTCTATGCGATATGATCGTTTTCTTTCTTTTTCTTTTGTGCTATTAAATGAGAGCGCGATTGACGTTACACCATAAATTAACTACTAAATATTATTATTATTATTTCTATTCCTATTATTATTAATATTAATGTTTACATATATATATATATATATATATATATACATATATATATATATATGTATATATATATAATAGATTCATTCATTTAATATTTTCCAAGAAATATGTATTTATATTCATATATATACAAACATTTGAATATAATTATCTAAATCGGCGTTAACCTATCCAAATTAATTTTTTATCACGCAATGCGATCATAATGATCAGACAAATGACAATTCCTTCATTTAATCTATTATTTTCATTCGGCTTTGTGGTATTTTTTATAACTAGTAGGTATTTTTGATTAGTCTGGTGATTTGGATCGTTTTGGTGATTTTTGTCTTTTTAATATGGCGAAATCGTGTGTCAAAGTGCCTAAAATCATTGATCGCGAATGTAATCTATGTGATCTACAGCTCAGTCTTGACGATCGACCTCTCGTTTTTTATGTAAATATACAGAAGAGTCGGTTAATAATAAGCTATTACAGATATACATGTATTTTTTATTTTTCGTACTCTTTTAAATGAACTTTTAACTAATAAAAGAAGAAAGATAAGGTTAGATAAATAGTTTCATAAATAAGTGATTGGATTGATTTAATTTTGTTTTCTTATATATTATTTCCTTATAATTATTATTAATATTCAATGATGTGGATATGATTAGAAAAAAAAATTCAAATAATCAAATATTCTCTAATATTTATAAAAAGAGTTTTTGAACATTTCTAATTATATTCAAAAAAGTTTACTTATTTTAATAATAAAAGTTAATAATTATTAATATTGATAAAATCCTTATATGTTAATAAAATTAAATTATAAATCGTATATTACATCAATGAATTATACAAATAATAAATTATTAATGAAATATTGAAAATTATAATATTTTTTTAAATATTTTATTAGGTAATTGAATATTTTAAATATTTTATTTAAATATTATTTTAATATAATAATCTATTTCACAAATACGTTAATAAAAATTTCATTAAAAAAAGAAATATTCAGATCGGAGCTGTTTTTTAAATGTATAAGACAAGGAAGTCAAATATTTGAAAAAGGATGGAGATAGAATAAAAGTGTTAGCATCAACGCCATCTTCAGAGTGCCGCAAATGAAACTCGTAAAGAACTAATAGACAAGGAAAACAAGTTTTAGAAAAGGATAAAAATAGAGTACAATTGATCGTTAGCGCCATCTCTGAAGTATAAAAGATATTAATTGTAAATAGGATAAAGTAGAGAAGGAATTGAATATCATCGCCATCTTTTAGTAGTTTTCGAAGATACATTTAGCATTCAAAAGATGGCACTAGTAGTCAATTCTTATCTCTATCTTTATTTTTCTCTTATTATTTGTTCTCTTTGTTTATTTTCATGTTTAATTTACGGCACTCTGGAGATGGCGCTGATTTCCAAATTTTTATCCTATTTCTGTCCTTTTTCTATTATTTGCTCTTCTTGTTTATCTATATGTTCTCCAAATATAAATAACAGTAATTTTTACTATATCTGTAAAATTTTATTTATAATAAATTTCTTTTCTATTTTTTTATCTTTACCTATTTAGATATCTTTTATATTAAATTCTTTTTTTATGATTTAATCTCTTCTAATTTATTAAACATTGTGTTAAAGTGATTTTAAAAATTTATTTTTGTTGAAATCTTTGCAGATGATTATTGATCCACAGTTTTTCTCGTGCTAAGACTTAATAATCATTTTTCATACATTTTTTTTTTTGAAAGCTATTCATTATTTTAAAAATAATACAAAAATTGTTTCTTGAAAAACGATATCAAGTTAAAAAGTATGCAGTGCTTACAGCCCAATTTAAATTAAGCAAAATTTTTTTTGATCATTTAGACTTTAGATCTTCATTTTATTTATATCCGTTGTGGAATATTATGAAATTATTATGGAATATCACAGGACATCATGATATGTGTATAAAAGTACAAGTTTCCTAATTTAAAGATAAAAATTTCAATTTTTTTACTTTGTTCTTTTTTTTTTAAAAAGATAACCATATTAACTTTTTTATTTCTTATTTTTTTAGGTAATTATGTAGTCATATATTTTATAAAATGTTTTCTCGATTATTTAAATCCAATTCAAGTTATTATTGAATAATCTTTATGTTACAATTAATCATCAAGCTGACTTCTTCCGGTAACCAATCGAGCATTCTGGTCGATTGATAGGTTTGTTGATGAGAGTTTCAACCTGTAAGTAAAACTAGATTGCAGATATCATGTTATATTATATTTATACAATTTTTTATTCATTTTTTTATACACAATATTAAATTATTTGAATTATAATATATACAAGAATTATTTTAGAATTATTTTAGAAAGTTGAAATCATAAAAATTTAGTTCAATTTTTATATAAATAAGTCAAATTTTTGTTTCGTCCTCAATATTTCACCTTTTTATATTTCAGTTGATAACATTGTTGGTGAAAGTATACAATTTGTTCCACGATAACATGGCGTTAGAATTATGTTGTTCTATTATGCTTACCTACCTCGAATCCTAGATAAAATGAGCGAAGTTTCGATGCGCTTGGCAAGATTATATTACGATACACTTCGTTTCACAGATGGTCTACTTTTGAGAGCGGTAACTAGTGTCTAATTTACATATTTAGGCTGCCTAAAATCTTTTCAAGAAAGATCATGATCTGAAAAATGTTTAAAAAGAGTAAGCAATTTTAAATTAATTTTATAATTTACAGTTATAATGTTTTAACTATCTCAGTTAATAATTTTTTAACAGATTTATGTAGAGAAAATAAAAGATAATAATCTTTAAAAGATTATTAATATTCTAAATAAAGATAACTTTTTAACAATTTTGAGATAAAAACAAATGCATTTTTCGTAAATTGTTTGGCTTTGTTCACTAACAAATAACATACCTTTTTAGGTTGTGCAACGTTTAATGGATGGATTGCGTGCCACCAACAATTGGTGCTTTCTTTTGATTCGCATTCTTCAAAGAATAATTTCTCATGATGTTCGCTTCGTGGACCTTTAACATTCATTTCATTGCACGAAAATAGATGTTTGCTTACTATGAAGAAACTCGAAACAAGATAAAGGTAAACAGGTATATATTTTTTAGAAAGAATGTCAAACTTCGAACAGCAATTAACATTATTTTATTAGCGAAAGTGTTCTAATAGAGAGAAAATTTATGATGTTAATTTTCCAATTTTATATTAAAGTCAAAATAGAAATTTTGAGAATTTCTTTAAAACATTTTTCTATTTCTTTGTTAAAATAATTATCAAATGAAATTTTTATCCTATAAATAAGAAATAATAGTTTTTCTTAGTTAGTGGTTTAATTAATTTAGTAAACGAAATTTAATTACTTTGTTTCAATACTTGATTTCAATCTCATTATTATATAACGTTTTTCAGCACTTTTAAGAAACACTAAATGACTACATTCGAATCTATTGTTGTCGTCGTATCACATCAAATGATTATAAATCATTTTTTCACGGATTGATCAAATTCAAAAAGATTGTTATTCAAAAAAATTCAAAAGATGATATAACAACACTGATAAACGATACTTAACGCGGGTGAAACTATCCAAAGCGTTCATTCTTCGACAGGCCATTGTTCTATTTATCGGTATACAAGTACGATCTTGCAATTTCCTGCGAGCGAATCTCGTCTCATGATTATTTTTCTACATGATGTAGCAGGATTGGTTTTGAAATCGGATTTAAAATCCTGTGAAAACATTGTTGAAGCGCTTATATTTTGTTTAAATTTCGCGCAAATAGTCAAATACGAATAAAGAAAATTTAATATTGGATATTTTTAAAACTATAAAAATAGATTGAAAAATATAAAATATTTTATATTTTATTTGTTTTGATAAAATTTTGATAAAATTTGTTCATGATAATTACTTGCAAGAAATTATACATAATAAATTATGACTTATAAATATCAAAAGTAATCATTCATAGATATAATTCATTTTGTTGAATTAGAACATTGTATTTATAATAAAATAATTATTTTTTTAAATATTTTATCAAACATCTATTGTTCACAGCAAGTACCGCTAGATTCATCGTAGTACATTTACTATGTGTGTATCTATAGTTACTAGTAGTAAATACCAACCAGTTGGATGTTACTATTTTACGATTATGAACTACATCGACTAGTCGGTCAATTGATAAATTTATTATTTTCGATGCTTAATCACTGTAACATGACCGATTTTAAATAAAAATATTTTATGATTATTATACAATTTGAAAATAGTTAATATTTTCATTTACAATTTTATTGAACAAATATAAATATATATTTTTTACAAAATTTCTTAAATAATTTTAATTCGTATTTTAAAAAAATATATATTAATTTAAAGAAAATTTATTTAAAGAAATAATGAGAGAACAGTTAAATAAAATATATACATCATTATTTATATCTATCTTTTAATCTTTGAGTTTATTCTGGGAAAGATCTGGACTACTTCAAAATTAGATCTTATCTACAACAGAATTTCATCATACATTTCATTATGTAGTTGATTAAAAAGTGAAGAAATGAATAAATGTTTAATAAATAGCGAAATAAAAGGTGAATGTGGCATCTCGAGCATTCTCCGTTTCAAGGAAATCGTCGAAAGTATAACAGTAGGTTTCTCAGACCGCGTCTAAGCATCTCTCCACCTGGATGAAGAAGATTAGTTGGCGTGCTATTCCTCGAGTGTTTCGTTGCGAGTTCTGACAAACAATCTCGGGGTCACTGAGTTTCAGCAGAACGGTGAACACGGGTCATCAAATGTAGTATATACTATGGTAAGAAGGAGTAGGTTTCCTTTTTAGATCCCTCGTGGAGGGAATCGATGGATCAGTATTCGTTTGATTCTCCTGACGAAACAACAAGAACTTCGGCTTCTATCTTTTGGAGAAAAACGGATATTGTGCGATACCAGTTGATAAAAGTTACTTGTGTGTGAATCAAATTTCAACTATATTAAAGAAAATAATATTTGAGACAAAAGATAGTGAAATTCAAATATTTTAAAATATTTTGTGGGATATGAATATTTCTAAATATTTATGAAAAAGATTCATTTGGATTGATTATTAATGGATTAGATTTATATGATGGAAATATAAAAATTAAAAATTTACCCCAAATGAATTTTAAATGAAATTTGAAAATTTTTGAAAAATTTCAAGAATACTTGAATTCTATAAAAAAAAAAGAAATTTTATAATAAAATTTAAAAAGATTTTATTTTGTATAATAAAAGAAAGCCAAGAAATTATTTTTATCAAGTAATTTCCCATGTTTGATGAATTTTAAAAATGTATCCTCCAATTGGATTGGCAATGTGTAACAGATAATGCATTCACGAATGAAACGCTACGATTCTTCGGCATCGGAACTCAAAAATCATAACATGTTGAATGAATTCAGAATTCTTAGCTGACAAAACATATACTCGATGAATCGTAAAAGAGTCATCCTTGTGTTCATTTTTCATGGCTTCGATAAGCCATGGATGATACATCATCGAAGAATCTTCCTCATCTTTCTATCCCTTGTGATACTCGTAACATGTATCCCTTGTTACGAAAGTCGTGGTATGTTGGAACTAATATCATATAATATTTTATATATTTTTATTTAAAATAGTAAATTTTAAGATATATTTGTAAAAAGAGAATTAAATTGTCATAATTATAATTTAAATAGATCGTAACGAATGACTTAATGACAATTTTTTGCAATAAAAATTTATCTAAAAAAAATGAAAAATACAACAATTAATAAATTGTAAAATTAGATAGCGGTTGTCTTAATAGTTTTTAGTAATTGATAAGTGAGTTTTCCAATGATTGCAATAATTGAAGTCATTGTAGACAAAAGTATGTCTCATTTTTAGAGATCGTGATGCAGTAAGCGTGAAAGAAAAGAACAGAACAATTGAAAAAATTTTCGTTCGATTTCAAATTAAAAAATAGATCAAGAAAAAAAGAATTGATTCGTTAGAAATTCTAATTATTATTATCAATAATTAGATTTTTTAAAAAAATAAATTAATATTTTTTTAACTTATTTATATATATACTTATTTATATATTTTATTATGTAAATTTTTAAAAAATATAAAATTTATAGAAATCATATAAAAACTATGACAACAAAGCATGAAATTAAGTATAAAATACGATATATTAGAAAAAATTAGAATAATTTTAGAGAGAAAATTAATTTGGTAGTAGAATAAGTTTATAATGACCATAAATTATGTATATTTCGTGCAATGAAGAGTTAATTTTGAAGATAATGTCAAATATGTGCAAATAAATTTTAATATAAAACAAGTTATTTAAATGATTTAATATAGTTAAATTATTATCATTATGATTATTATGGTTTGTTTAATAATAATTTAATAATTTTTAATATTATTATTTTCATTTTATTAGAATTTTTAATTTATTATTAAATATTCTTATTATAGCCAGGAATATTCCAAATACTCAGAAATTAATTAGAGATAGAGAAATATATAAGTTGTATGAAAATAAACCATCATCCAATTATATAGAAAACAATTGGAGGAAAAAAACTTTTCAATTTGAACAAAATGATGAGAGATGGGATTCAATATCTATTCAAAAGGAAAATACTTATATACATGAATTTCCATCCGTTAATTTTATATACAATAATACAAGAAATAATCGAATATTGTATGTTTGTGCTTTTTAATATCTTTTACATTTTTTATTTATTACAATTATTTATTACATTTATTATTTAAACATTATATAATTTATTTTTATTAGCAATATTTATTTTAATAACATTATTCAATTTAAATATATTATTTTTAATTGTAAATCTTTTATTTTATAAGAAAAATATATAATTTTTAATTGTTTAAAAAATTTATATTATTTTAGAATGTATAATGAACAAACTTTAACACATAAAAGATTTAAGAGAGGTGTTATACATTTATATAACATGGTAGTATGCGCTACTGGATGTAATCCTTTAGCTTATAAAGGATATGGATGTTATTGCGGTTTTTTGGGCTCAGGATATGTAATAGATGGAATAGATAGGTAAATTTTATACATAAATATATTTACGAAATATATATTTTTTATTTTTAATAAAGTTCATAGAAATAAGTCTCATAATTTAAATATTTTAATAATTTTTTTTTAGATGTTGTAAAATGCACGATTGGTGTTATGACGCTACAGAATGTCCAGTATTTTCAGGATACTTTATACCATATTATTGGAGATGTTATCGTGGTCACAAACCAGTATGCGGTTAGCTTCATTGAATGCGTTATTTTATCGATTTATAATTATATTTATTTTAAAAAATATTTTTTTTTGCATTAAAGCTGTTGAACATGGAAGCTGGGGAGGCTCTGGATCATGTGCTCAACGATTATGTGAATGTGATCGTTCATTCGCCGAGTGTTTAAAACGTTATCCTTGTCCAACAACCAAAGCTGTATGCACTTCTTCACCTTGGAGACTTGTACAAAATCTTTTTATGATTATGTAATTATTGGCATAAAATTGTGAAACGGTACTTAATTACTAATATTGTGTTCATACCAAAGATAAGAAACATATTTCAGTAAGTACTGTAACATTTATTATGACAAAACGTACAAATATTTTTATAAAATTATAAAATCAACAAAATAATATATATCGAAATAGTTTTTTAGTTTTCATTTTTATTAATTTTCAAAGGACTAAGCATTCAATAAGATATTAGAAAATATAGTAATTTCTTTACATATCATTAAATAATACTATACATTCTTTTTATTTTGTAATAAAAACTTATTTACAATGGACATATTTCGTTTATTTTTGTTTTTTAATTATTTACAACATATTTATACTTCCAGTTAAATGCACAGTTCTGTTTTTATATTTTTTTGAAATATCTTGTTCGATCTATAAACAAAATAAGAAAGATAATAATACATTAATAATATAATAATAAGATATTCATATGCAATGAGTATTATTTTAAATACCTCTGTTTGAAGTTCCTTTGTTCTTTGTATAAGAAGTTGAAGATAAGGTCGAATAGAATTAATATTTTCACCAGAATTTTCTCGTTTTTCTTTTACATTTTTTTGTAAAATTATCATTTTCTCAACTAAGCTTAATTTTTGTTTCAATGATGAAGTTAAAACGTCTACATATCTATAAAAACGAATTCTTATTTCTGTAAAAATACTATAAACATAATATAATATTTATATATTTTATTTACCTTACAGAATGTTTAATATTGTGTAAGTGTTGAACTTTAGTATCCAAAATTTCAGATAAAACAACTTGAACATTATCTAACATATTTTGAGTATTTTCCAATGTAGAATACTGAACAATAGAAGATGAATCTTGTAATTGACTAAAGCTTAAAAAATTTACACTATCATCCCCTTTAAACTCATATAAACGTACTTTAAGAAATGCTTCCAACTGTAAAAAAAAAAAAAAATAATTTAGAAAATAGTGTCAGAATATACATTAATCAAGAAAAATACAAAATTTACATACCTCAAATAACTGATTAATAAAATCATTTCTTGTTGATGGGTTGTCGAGAACAGTATATGCTTTACTACCAGTAGCAATTCCACCTTCATGACCAGCTGCTTCTACAACTATACCAGATTCTTCTAAAGAAATATTATAATCTATATTTTCATCTTCTATAACCTCATCTATATTTTCATCACCCCAATCAATTTCACCTCCTTCTAACATTATATCTTCAAAATTTATGCCACTGTTTATATCAATTTTTCCAAAATCAATTCCCTGAATTTATGAAAATATTAAGAAAAGATTTATAATTATTTATATATTTTATAATATTATTAATATTACATACAATGTTATCAATATCTTCAATTTTCTTATTGTCTAAATCATCATTATTTAAACTTATATTTAAAGATGGTTCACTAACTGATAGTGGAGCTTCTCCATAAATCCATTCATATGTTGTAGTATTTCCTTTATCTAATTAATTTATAATATATATAGTATGTATAACAATATATATATATATATATATATATATATATATATATATATTTCTTTAAATAATTTAACATACCAATTATATATTTTACCATAGGAACACAACCACCATCATGCTGTCTACCAAGAGTATAATTAACAAAAGCACAATAAAATTCTACAACTTTCTCTAATGATTTTATTTTTTTGGCAATTTTTTCATAAATTTCTGGAAGTTCTTTTACTTTCTCAGTTAATTCCTGTTTTATTTGTTCTCCAGGAATACCTAATTGCTTACAAAGTAAATTAAATTCTGATCTAGCAATATTTTCTGATTTTTTATAGTCAGCTTCTTTTTTTTCTAATTCCTATTAAAGAAATTTACTTATAAAAATGTAATAATATACAAAATAATAAATATAATAATAATAATATAATAATAATAAATACTTACAACTTGTATTTGTTCTAGTTTTTGAATTTGTTTTTTAGTACTTGGAATTTCATAATTAATATTTCTTATAAGTATTTGTGCAACTTCTGCAAGATATATATTATCTTTTTCATATAAACGTAATATTTCTTGCCAATCTTTCATTCTTTGTGAACCATATCTGCCAAATACATTTTTTGTATCAGCTTCAGTTTCTTTTAAAATTTCTATTATTTTCAAGCAATGAAAATAATTGATATCTGAAAAAATATAAATTAAATTATAAATTAATATATAAAGAAATATTATAATATAATTATATATAATTGTTAAATTATATATATAATTATATTTATAATTATTATTTTTTATATTTATAATTATTATTTATAATTATTATTATATTTATAATTATTATTTATATTATTATATTATAAATATAAAATAATAATTAAACATACATGAACCAGATAATAATTTTGCAATGCCTTCATGAATAGGCATATCTTGTATTGCATTATTAATTTTTTCTCTAATTGGTAAAACCATTACATGCCAATCTTTAGTGCAATGTCTTCTATTAATTAACCATTCTAATAATTTTCCACTATTAATATCAATAGGAATATCTTGTTCCTGGAAAAATATAATATTAATTGAAATTTAAATTATGTAAATTAAAAACATATGTAAGTAAATAACATTTTTATTAGCATTTATTAAATAAATGCAACATATGTAAGTAAATAACATTTTTATTAGCATTTATTAAATAAATGCAATATTCAATAAAATAAAAGGCTTATGATAATTTTTAAAGATAAATATAAGCCTTGATATTCAAAAATTAAAAAAATTACCTCCATGATATGAAACTTTATACAATTTAACTTATAAAATTTATTTACGTCTTTTCCTTGATAGGTTATAACAGCTGTTGTTTCTTATTTTTTACTATCACCATATAAAATTGAATATATAGATAAATTGCTCTACCGGCAATCTCAAGAATACTTACATTACGTATTTCCGTAATAATAAAATTTAAATCAATTATATTACTGTATAAAAATATATATATATTATATATTTTAATAATTAATATTAATAATACTACTACTAATAATAATGTTAATACTTTAAATAATAAAACAAATTTTCGTAAATTCTGTTTTTTAATATTTTTGTGACGTGTATTGAAAATATCGCTTTCATTATCGGATAAATATTTTCCACCGTCATATCTATATGTCAATATTTATAAATAGCAGCCAGTATAGAAAAAATTAATAATCATGTATGATATATTAATATTTATTTATTGTTAATTTTATGCGTAATGATTAATTTTCTCCAAAAAAAATATCGAATAAAAAATTTCATATATTTTATTTTTAAAATATTTACAGAGAGAATGCATTATAAATTATAAATTTTTATGATTCTATAAAAAAAATATAATATATAATATATATTGAAATTAAAAAATAAAATTTATTACATTTCTAAAAATGTTTATTATTATACATATTTTTTTAATTATAGAAAATGCAAATTTCAAATTTTTTTTATTTTTTAATCAATATACATTAAGTAAAATATTTATATACGTACATAAATACAATATATTAAATATATGTGTAACAATTATATTAATATCTAAGTATCAATTAAAAATAAGATGGGAAAAGTAATTATAGAAAGTAACACATACATACGCGCAAATATTCTAATTTATTATTACAGTAAGAAAAATGTCTCTCATGGCAATGTTACACTGTCAATGCCAAAATACAGTTATAACATAAAGATTTACTATTAGAAGATAGTTCAATTATTTTCACATTTTTTATTAGTGCTTATATTAGAGCAAGTACTTATTAAAAAGTTCTAACTTTTATAACTTAATATTCAAATTATTCACACATAAACGCGCATACACAACATCCTCATAATTTAGTAAACTGCAAGTTTCTGCTGCTACATTATTCCATCTGTTTGAAATTGTATTTCCAAGTCCAAAATAAACATGGACATAATACACAACTGGCCCAGTTTAACATGGCACCATAATTGGTGGAACTTGTGAAATATTAAGTATGATGATGTTTCACATTCACTTGATGGATAAATTGTTTAATTTGCGAATAAAAAAATTATTATTATTCGCAAATACACTAATAAACATTATTAACGTTTTCTCTCTGTGAAAAAGGTCCTTAAGATATACACCTGCCCCACAGATATAACTAAGATTGTAATAGTTTCCATAACGGACCATAAGAGTACACGTGTATTCAAATCTTCTGCACGTTTACGACCTTGTGCTTCTCTCAATCGATGATGTGTTTGATAATCTAAAATGCTATTTAGATTCTTGTGTACTGTTTGAGCAGAAGATTCCATCTAGAAATATTAAAATAATATTTATTACATTTTAAATTTATTTAATTCTATTAAAAAATATAAAAATAATTTAAAAATATAAAAATATTACCTGAGTCATAACAGTTACATGTTCTCCAAGTGATGATTGATCACCTACTCTGAAATCCATATAAACAAGTTTATGTGAAAAGGTTGAAAATTCATTGCTAAAACAAGCTTTATATGCTCCTGTCATAGATGCTGTAAATTGATGTGAATCAAATTGCGTTTTTATTTGTTTATAAATAATCTCTTTATTTGGTGCTTCCAAAATTACATCTACATCATATTGTCCACCTGTCACAACCTAAAAAAAACATTCATTTTTAAAAAAATATATTTAATTTTTTTAAACATATTGATTTTCAATATTAAGTTGATAATTATAAATATGGTTATTATATTAAAGTAAATTAATTTCTCACATATTTGCAACTATGTGCTATTAAAAAAAGCTTCATTTAATAAAATTATATTAATATTTATGTACCTGAAATTCAAATAATGCTGTTGCATTTTTTTCAATATCCTGATAAAAACATTGTTTCGCATTGTCAGGTAGTTCAAAGGATAGCTCGACACCACCAGTACGTAATATCGTACCAAATAGCGAAATAAATAGCAAGCAAATCGACCAGTAGTCCATTCTTCGTTAAATTTCTATTTCTTGTAGCTTATTCACATTTAAGTTTGAGAAAGATTGCAAAACACAATATTTAATTAATTGATCAAAATCGCCGCTAATATTATAACCAAACAAGCTATTTTAACGTGGCCGGATACTGTTCATGTTAATACGACAGAAGCGCCACTAAAACGGAATTGACTGCGACGACGTCAGATTTTAAAGAATGTTTTCACATTAAATATGTTTTAAAAAATTAAAAATAAATTTATTAAATAAAAAAAAAAGATATACAAAGAATACAAAAATTTTTATAAAAAGATAAAATGTTTTTTAAATATCATTATCAATATTTGGAAATACAAATGAATAAAAAATTAAATTATAGAAGAAATATAACTATAATAAATATAACAATTTTTTTTTAAAAATGATGCAAAAAGTAAGAATGTTAATTTTTAATTATTAATTGATTGATAATATATTTATTATTGATATGATTAAAATATAATTTTAAAAATGTAAAAAAAATATAATTAACATATAACTTTAATATTAACTATAATATTATATAACTTTGTGATATAATTTATATATTAGTATAATATTTATAAATTATAAATATATATATTTAACTGTCTATGAATTTAAAGAATATAAAGGATAAGTTAAAAGAATTTTAAATAATTTTCATTGCGTGTATTGCATAATTCTAAAACCAGAAATTGTTTTAGATTTCAATTTTTCAATACTTTTTTATTAAAATAAATGAATAGAATAAGAAATAAATATCTTATTGATGAATCAAATAAATTTCTTGAAATATAATAAGTATAACTAAACTATTTCATATTTATTAATAATCAAAAAATTTGAAAATAAAAAATAAAATTAAAAGATTAATAAAATATATAAATAGAATTTAATATAAAAATTTTATAAAAAAAATATTTAATTTTTGTATTAAAAAGTTAAAATTTTAATTTTTATAATTAATTTTATCCACATATTATAATATAGAATGATTTACAATTTTTTAAAATAATCAGATAGAAACAAAGAAAAAGAAGATTGCAAACAAACACATGTATACTTACGTATAAAACTGTTGCGTGAGGCGCCCTAAGGTCCCGCCTTCTATTCTAATACAGTTGCCTCTCGTCTGTCATGTTATATACTTTATTCATGAAAGTGTGTTGCAGAACAAACCCCGCATATCGAAGGAGGGTAACCAAAAGAGAGGGAGAGCAATAAAAGATCCTTTTCATTGTAAAAGGAAACCAAGCATGAAAGGACATGGAAAATTATACGTCACCCCAAAAATCATTTCAAGCAAGTACAGTAGACCATAAAATTACATCATTAAAATATATTTTCTATAAAAAAATTGTACAAAAAAATTATCTACATATTAGAGAAAAAAGAATTGATTATCACTGTATTGTTTATTCATACATTATTTTTATATAAGTTGTAAATATTAAAAATGTATATAAGTTGTAAATATGTTTTTTTAAATGTGATTGTAAAAGTTATACAGATTTGATATTTTCGAGACTGAAAAATAAAATCGCGATTAGGTAGATTGTATTATTAGATAAAATCAGTGTAGTATATGTATGTGTGTAATGCAATACTTACCTATTATATATTTACTGTGCATATTCGTGTAATGCAATACTATACATACATTGTATCATATAATCTAGACTTCTTACTGGCATAGCAATAACCATTTTTTGATAATTCCATATTACATGATCATATGATTTTTGACAATCTGTAAGTTTTAAATTTAATATATTATTATTTGGATCAAAAATCAATACAAGTTTTAAATTATAATAAATTTTAAATATAATAAATATAAAATTTTGAAAAAATTACATAAACATAAAATTAATTATAAATTTTAAATAAGATGAATATTCATTACTATAAGATAAATATTTATTTTTAATAATTTTTAGTTATTAAAAATTAGTCAAAGTGATTAATAATAATAATATATCGATATGATATAATTATATCGATATAATATAATCTATTATATATCGATATATAATATAATATGATTATATTATATCGATATATATAATTATTATATATCGATATAATACAATATAATATATAATATAATACAATAATACAATAATATATAATACAATATAATATAATAGATTATATCGATATATTATTATCTAATATAATTATTATTATTATTATAATATAATATAATAATATTTCTATATTTATTATGCACGATATTATAATATAATTTTACAAATAACTATGATATAATTTATATTGTATTTAATTAAATTTGCAATAATATATTTTTAATAGTTTAATTTATATTATTTATTTATAATAGTGAAAAAGCAAAATTTTTATACAAAAACTCAGAATACCTGTTTTATGTCGTATATACGATTCGTGAATATCTAATGACTACGTTCCGTTTGAAATTGTGTACACATGTACCTATATACACTATCTATCAAAAGTTTCAGCATACAAAAAAATATATTTTTGAATGTGATATAAAATCAAAGAGTATTTTAAGAAATTTAAAAAATACAGAATAATAAAAGATTATAAAATATATAAAAAATTAAAATATTAATCCTAAGAAAGAAAGAAATTTAAAAATTCTTTAATAATAAGACATATTCAACTTTTGAATGCTAGTGTATGTAAGTACACGTGTATTCGTTTATATATGAAGAGCAGGTTCGAAATACGAACAACACAAGGGGTTTCTCTACTACGATTAACTTCGTTGGAGTGGGGGAAGAGCACACGATCGCATCAAGCTCGCACCATGAGTTTTCGAACGACAACGGTAGGAGGCAGATCTCTTGTATACGTTTCTCATTTCTTGTTAATATTATTTTTATCCAACAATTTTCTTTTTGTTTCCCAGTAAGAAGAAATTTATATGTGAAAAATTTAATATTTTTATCGTGTAGAATTGCGTGTAAAATGAAAACATTCTCTATCGATGTTCGTCGAAAACAGAAGATGATTTGATGTAACATAGGTACATATATACAAAGGTCGGTGACTTGAAAAATCTCTGGACTGCTGTCTATAAAGTAAGTACTTTCAGATGAATATATATATATAATTTTTATTAGAAATCTTTATCTTCTAAACTATCGAAATATTAAGAAAATTAAGTACTATTTTCGAAAAGTGCGATGATTTATAGTTTTTATTAATAAAAATATCTAGCTGCTTTTTATATTTTTATTTATAAAAATTATGTAAAAAATATTGAAAAAGTTGGTTACTTTCATGAATTATGTAGTGTCTTTTTGATTTTATGTGTTGTTTTAACCGTAATTGAATTTGTAGTATATAAAAGCACTTTACCTATTGAATATTGCTTTGAATGTTCCTATAAAGTAATAAACTAAAAATCTTGAATGCTTTTATAAAATGGATTAAACTTTATTTTATAGTGATATTTCATGACAATAAACATTTTCATATTATTTAATAATAATAAATTGATAATAACATTTTAAAGTATTCTACGCACTCTTAAAATTTTTCTAAATATATATTCACGAATAATTATTTAAATAATTTATTGAAAATATTTATTTTATATTTATTAGATATCTATTTTCTATTTTATATTGATTATGATTATTTCTATTTCTAGTTCATATTATCATTATTATATTATTATCATTTATAATGAAATATTATAATATTTTATTATTTGATATACTTTGTTATTTAACTATTTTTTTTGTCTTTTCTTGATTCCTGATATTATTTTTATTATCAAATTATTTTTTTTGAACAAAATTTAGAAACCAATATAAAATAGTAAAACCAATAGTTCCCTAAATAAAATTCCTTCAGTGTTATGCGATAGTATGTTTTAGAAATTAAAAAATTGATAGCTTATACAATCATTTAATATTATCCTAAAAACATTAAAATTATTTTGTTTTATTTTTTTATTTTATTCAATAATTTTATTTCATCATATCGATTTCTTACTATTATCTTATTATTATTATTTTTCTTCGATTTATGATTTTCACTAATTTTCATGATTAACCAATGAAAACAGCGATAAGTTAAGCACGAGTCGAGAATGCTGTAACGAAAGTTAAAAATAGCTAAATATAGCAAAGGATAATATAAAAGAAAGGTTGACAGACAGATGCTCACTTGCATTAAGAAATTATTCGATTAATATATTTTAATATATTTCATATATTTGCTTTTATAATTCATATATACTTAAATATAAAAATAATAAAATGAAAATATTAATTTTTTGATATCGATTTTCTTATTAAAAAAAATAAATATTAATAAAAATTATAATATAATTTAAATATTTTAATAAAATTAAAATAATATAGAGAAATATTTTCTTATTTTACAATGCAAAACTATACATGCATTATAATAGTATTGCTTCTACAAATTTCCCAAAATTATAGGGATATATTTCTAAAACAAAAGCATTATCTACGGAAAAGGAATAACATCATGGAATAAATTTTATGTAAATCATAAAAAGATATATATACGGTGTCCATGCAGTTATATTCTTGGAATAGGATTTTGGCATAAGGTGATCATAAAACGTAGCAACTGACTGTCTAGACTTCGCTATGCTTGCACGTGAACGCAACATATACTAAGTACGTTGTTCGATCGATTTCTTACCGTCCATGTTCGATAAACTATAGTTTTCACCGTCACGACATTGCAAACGAATAGGTCAATGTACTAGCGTATAATTGAGACAATCTGTTAGTTAATAATTAACAATTCGCAAACAATGTAGATTGGAAGAAATGTTCCATTTGTAACACTTCGCTGCCGGCTTTTATTCTAACCAAATTAATTTAACGCGATATAATACGCATAGAGTCATTGACGACTACTAACAGTCTTAAGACTGTTATTTCGAACAAAATATCTGAGATCTAGTGTATTCAGGAATTTGTAAGATAAGTTAGGTAAAAATTATTCAAATTTAAATATTTGAAATTAAATATTCATATCTCTATTGAGTATTTAAATCGATATAATAATTGAGAAACTTAACCTTACAATCGTCTGTTGTTTTCAATTAATATTAGTAAATTAATCGAAAATGACTGAAAATAATTGATTCTTAAGTTAAATTATTTGTTAAGTTAAAATTATTTATTTTTTACCTAACATTTTTTTTTTTTTAATTTAATTTTAACGTTGATATATATAGGTTATATAATTTTATACACACGTAAAGAATGTATCGATTCTCAAAACGCTCATTCGTTAGATAGAAATAGATATGTGCACACTATTTATTATTAGACAGTGTAAACGGTGAGATTCAGAAACTTTTTCTTCTATTCATCTAGAAGGAAACGCGGAGATCCTCTTTCGAGAAAGACACATTCAGTTAACGTACTTACCTGTTTCTTCTTGCTGCGTAGTCTGGTTTCAGTTATGGACCACGGAGCAATGTAAACGTGCTCTACGGAACCCGCTATATCTTCATTCCACGGCATTATCTTTTGCCATTATTCCATATTTTTTCTGCGAATTTAAATACAATTTAAAATTTACATAATGCAGTTTAATTATTAAATTATCCAATACAAGAAATAGAAAACGAATAACGGAATCAATAAAATAATTTCATTGTGAGAATGATTTAAGATAATTATGATAATTTTGTTGAGAAATCATGATTTAAGAATGTTTGTTTGTTTGCTCATTTTAGAACAATTTATGAATAGTTTTGTAAAAATAATTTCCATTATGTATTTGTTATTTTATTGTTATAAAGAAAAATGAGATTCTTAGTATATTAGTATAATTTATATATATAATTAGTATAATTTTCATTATTTGAATGTATAATTTAAAAAAAAATGCAGTAGATTATAATCTTACATAATACAGAGCATTTTATTAAGAAAATATTTAATTTAATATTTAATAGATTGGAATTACTAAAAATTCAAATAAATGCAAATTTTTATATTTTTTTATTATTAATATGATATGATAGTTTTCGAATTTGTTTCTTATGAAAGTCTTTATTATTAAATAATATATTATTTATTAAGTTTTATTTATTTTTGCTTTTAAACTGATACTTCTTTTAAAAAATTATTTATTTTAATATAAAATAATAAGTAATAATAAAATAATATAAGATATAGAAAATAAATCTTTCGAATATAATGAAATAAATTTATTAATTGATAAAATTAATAATCTTAGCTCAATTTAACAAAGAAATTTTCAAATGCATGCAAAATGTGTGAAAGCGATAAGTACAATTAACCGGTTAACCGGAATTTGCAATTAAATGCAATATCTTACAGTACATGAAAAACTCTCTGTACATATCGTGAAATCTATTGTAATGTAAAAATGTTAATAGAATCCAAACTATTGACTTTACTGTTTTGATTATTTTTTATTACATTACATATTATATATAGGTTATGTTTATATCTACTATATATTTGTTAAAAAATTTTATATTTGTTATATAAAATATATATAGATATACAATATGAAAATATTATTTTAGATATATTTTATATTTTTATATATAAAATATATATAAAACATAAATGTATCTAATATAATAAAGTTAATCAAAAATTTCTTTCTGTATAATATTCTCTCCGTACTCAACTTTATTATTATTATTGCATTTGTACTCGTAAACTCGATGGAAGTGTCTTTGATTCCTTTCAAATTGCACGTTGGCAAGCTACGGAATCATTACCGTTCAAATGAATTCCTTAATCAAGTTGCTGATGAAATAATAACAGAAGAGGCGCACAATCATTTGGGTCATGAATTGATTTTGTGTCTGATGAGCGTGGCGACCAATATGTAATAAATTCATAGCTTCTGAAACGGTATAAATAAGCGCATCTTTTCTCTCCACTTGTTTGTTACTCCACAAGTTGTAATTAAAGTTCCCGCGATAATGAAGCAGACAATACAACGCGAAAAGATTCGGATAAATTCGTATTCTCTTCAAATTTATCTATAAATAATTGCTATTTGTAAAGATAGAAAAGCAGTAATAATAATAATAATTAATGAAATTGAAAATTTACAGTTAAACATTTTTTTATTAATTTTAAACACATTTAATTCTTTCTGAACATATTTTATTTATTGTTTAATAATTTAATAATATTTCAATTATAATATTATACTAATAATTTATTGCATGAATAATTAAAAATATTTAACAATATTTTTTGTGGCTAAAAAAGTCCATAAAAAAGATTAAAATTCAAATTGAATTAGGAAATCTTTATTTTAAATATTCAATTATAATTATCTATAATCTTAAAGTTCTTCTTCCCACAATATCAAAAAACTATTCCTTCTTATTTCTAAATCAGATATATGTATTTTAATTCACAGGATAAGGTGAAACACTGAAGTTGTTCTCTCATTCGAGACTACCGTGACCGTATTGGATTTCTATTTCCTGTAGTGCAAAAGAACGCACGCACATGAAGAGTGCTCTCCCTTGTTTCACCATCAAGAGGGAAATTATGAAAACGATACGGGATCTCGGAGGACATGCGCAAGTTTAGCGAAGGTAAGTCTTCTATAAGTATATATAGAATTTCTTTCAACTTTTTTTTTCAATTTTCTACATCTAAAACGCAT